TTCCACTCAAGACTGGATGGCCTCATGCTTCAGTGGGATCTTTCCTCAGCTCTCTGTGGTTGAGATGCCCCAATGAAGAGACGCACTGCTGCCATTCGTCATCTGGGTCAATATTTGCTCTGCTGCAATATGGTGATCAGGATATGAAGTTTTAATTATACTTCTTTTCTCTTTACAATATGCTGCCACACTGGCTGGTGGAAGTGCTAAGAGAAAATAATTACAAAAGTGGAACCAATGAGTTAAATGGAGTGACCAAAATCCCAGTTGAGCTCATGCTTGCAGGTGTGCTACCTGCATTTTAGAAGCCTTCAAATCTAATTTTAAAAAATGTGGACATAACAATTGTGCACGCAACGATTGGCATGGACACATGCGCATTATGATACGATTGCTGCAAGTGACACATACACAATGGTGTAGAAAGCTTGAAAAAATGCTAATATCTCATGCTAAAATGCATTACCGTAAAATGGGGTAACTTAGACTCCCGGGGTAACTTAGACCACTTTTAGTTTTTTTTAACAAAAACCCCCAAAACTCAAAAACTATTTGACATAGAAAAATTTTGTCAATGGGCATTAAAGGCCTAATCCTGAGGCTACGTAACTCAATAAAAATATAAAAAAATTGTGCATATCTAATAGGTTAAAAAATGAAAAATGTGACCCATGAAAAAGAGCTAACGTAAAATGGGGTTACTTTGACTCCCGGGGTAACTTAGACCACTTTTAGTTTTTTTTAACAAAAACCCCGAAAACTCAAAAACTATTTGACATAGAAAAAATTTTTCAATGGCCATTAAAGGCATAAGACTGAGGCTAAATAACACAATAGAAAGATTTAAAAAGTTTACATATCTAATAGGTTATAAAATTAAAAATGTGATCCACTAAAAAGAGCTATTATTTAAAGCCTGTTGAGTACCCCCTCCAATTTTTTTATTTTTTGGTAAAATAACTCCAGGTTTTGATGCATTGTAGTAGAACTCTTCTAGTTACATATGCTAATGACAAATTTTAGGAAAGTGTCATAGTTTGCAAATGGGGAGCACTGCCCCCCAATGGGGGAACTCTGACCACCTAATGGCAGCCATGATGGGGTAACATTGACTGGCTTGGAAATTAAGTTAAGATTACCATAGGTACCTATATAACATATTTTATGTTTGACAGCCTATTTATGTTTTTTCTTTATGTTTCAGACTCTACAGAGTCTTATACAGCAATCCCTTGATTAACGCGGTTAATAAATCCCCGAGTTTTACCGTGTTAAGCAAAACCGCGCTAATCAAACTTAAGAATATATGGGAATAATTATAATGAATCCTCAAAAATAGCAAAGTTACATAATAATTTTTTTTTTCCACTAAAATTCATCATATTTCCACTAAAATTCATCACTGAATTATGTTTCGAAAGTGAAAAAACAATCTGAATTACTTTTCAGATCACGAGCAGTCTTTGTGTTGTATGTACTGGCAGTAGCGATTCACAACATGTGACGCTACCGTCACACTTGCGGCTAGACTTTAAAGAATTATTGGCTGAAATTCATAAAGTAACAACATTTGGCAAAATTTTTCCAAAAGTCGTAACAAAAGTAACAACATAAGATCTAATAAGCAAAAGGTAACAATTTTGTTACGAACCTCTGGCTAGAGGCGGGAAAATGATGCGTTGTGAAAAAAAAGTCGCGCTAATCAAAACTGGCACCGCGTAGATTAAGGGTAGGTCGCAAATTTTTTTTCCGCGTTAATCAAAACCGCGGTATTCAAAACCGTGCTAATCAAGGGATTGCTGTATATGGTAATTTTAACATAATTTCCAAGCTGGTCAATGTTACCCCGGCATGGCTGCCATTAGGTGGTCACATTGCGCCCATTCTGGGGCGGCACCCCCAATTTGCAAACTATGACACTTTCCTAAAATTTGTCTTTTGTATATGTAACTAGAAGAGTTCTACTACAATGCACCAAAACCTGGTGTTATTTGGAGTTATTTTACCAAGAAATAAAATTGAATTTACCACCCAGTCAAAGAAACCCCAAAGTGGGGGTAACAAAGACCATCACTTTTTTAAATTACATCAAAACTATGAGAGGCAGCAGCCAGCAATTTGTGGTGAGTGAAGCATGAGTATAGACCTGTATTTTGCATGTTTCAATTTAAGTTTAACTTGTCTAGTAAAAAAATGGCATCATTTTGAAAACAAATGATTAAAGTTACTCCATTTTATGGTATTATTTAAAGCCTGTCATAGAACCCTCTCCAATTTTTTTTATTTTTTGGTAAAATAACTCCAGGTTTTGGTGCATTGTAGTAGAACTTCTAGTTACATATGCAAATGACAAATTTGAGGAAAGTGTCATAGTTTGCAAATGGGAGGCGCCGCCCCTGAATGGGGGAACTTAGACCACCTAATGTCAGCACTGATGGGTAACATAGACCATCACTTTTTTTGAAATTACATAAAAACTATGAAAGGCAGAAGCCAGCAATTTATGGTGAGTGAACCTAGAGTATAGACCTGTATTTTGCATGTTTCAATTTAAGTTTAATTTAGCTAGTAAAAAAATGGCATCATTTAAGAACAAGTAGTCTAAGTTAGCCCATTTTACGGTATTTCACAGCATGGCAATCAGGCTGCATGATTTTATTAATAAGAAGGAAAATTACAATCCTGCTTTTGCCTAAGTGTGGTTTATATCAAACTTTATGGCCACAATTATAGCTTTCCTGCCATTTATGGAATTAAAATATTCCTGCTAGATGAATTAATAACTACCGTACCTATCTAACTGTTAAAAAAATGTGCATGTGACAATTTTTCATATGTATTGAAAATTTGTCATGTTTGAGCCACAAGATTTCAGAAACCAATAGGAAAACTCCAATCAGGCTCCAGCCTAGACCAAAAATTCAATCTGTTGTACCATTTATTACAATTTGAGGCCATTTTTTGCTTTCAGGCATTGTAAACAATTCTAGTAAAGTTTCATGTCTAAAGGTCATGAATGGTGGTTAATATATTCATGACCAATCCACCTGTGCCAAATTTGAAAATTGTGCAGAAACTATTAGCAACCAATGTAGAATATTGTGCAGAATTTTCTAATAATTGCTGGTGAAAAACATTGTTTGACCAGTGAGACATGTAAGATTAGGTATTTTTCCAATCTTACCCATGACCTAAATCACTTGTGCTTGTGAATATTTTCACTAATGCTATGGCCTCCTTGCCATCGAAATAATTGATAAAAATTGAACATTTTCCCATGATTTATGAAACCTGCCTATAAAACCATGGAGGCACATGCCATTTTTGAAGAATCTGTATTTTATTCTATATTTTCTAGGCTGCACAGTAGGAGTTAACAGTTTGGAAATGTAAAACTATTTGCTAGCTAATCATTTTTAGTAAATTTAAAATTATTTACTAATTATTGTTTGAAAACATCAAATTATTTGCTATTATATATACACCCACAGAGTCAGACTTCAACATTACATATTTGATGCACAAGATAGATAGCATACACTAATCTCAATGGTGCCAATTGAATAAATTCTAATTAAATATGCAATTAAACATGTTTACTGAAATTAAGATTAAACTTGTACCAATGCCATTATCTTCAAGTAAAAGGCTTTGCTTCACAATCTTGTCTTAATGAAGTTCCCAAATTCACAAATAACTACAATCATGTACTTGCATGCTGGCATTCCACAATACAATTCAATGTTATGCCCTCAGAAGATCCTGTCAACACATTTTCCTGCTAATACAACTTCATGAATATTTTTGCCAACAAATCTTCAAGGTTGAGGTAGTTTGGGATACAAATTCATAATGATGTTGGCCTGGAAGAGGAATCTTTGCAATTCACCTGGGATTTTGTTATCAATGGCTGTTGGAATGAGGCAGTTAGTTTCAGAATTTCATCTACTTAATTTGCAGCTTCATTTACAGAATGTTGAGTATAATTTGTTTCAAACATTTGTCAGTGACACTTGAGTAGCCATGAGACAAAAAATTTACTCTCAAGGTGATGAATGTATTTCTTAACTCTGAGATTTTTGTTTTACAAGCTGTGTTTATCTAATTATTAATAAAACAGTTGTGTGAAATGTAAAATTACACCTAGAAGCAAATTTTTCAGAGCTACAAGTATTTAGAATTGACTTTCCCTCTCTTTGGAGTGAAAAATTTACTTATTGAACTCTACAGACAAAAATAAAGTTACAGAATATAGTTAATTTAATATTAAATAGTTTAGTTTCAATATGCCATCAGAACCACATTTTCACAAGCACCCAAATCAGTTGGTGTGAGCAGGCTGCAAGGTTTAAAAAAAAGTTGTAAAGCTGTGAAGCAAGTCTTTGAAGCAAGATGATGTGTGATTGTAGTTATGTATGATGAGGGTGATGTGATGTATGGGAACAAAAAATAAATTTAGCAAGATAATTGTGGCTTTGACAAGACCAGGTTTTGCTATGATGAAGAGTGAAACAAAGCATTAATTACTGGTCAAAAGATTGAAGTCAATATTATTATTTCAAGAATCATTATCAATATCTTTAAAATTGTATCTAAATATTAGAATCATTGAGCAAGTGTTAACCTATAGAGTAATATATTCAGCATATACAGATTACAGATGTAGGTAGATTCATTACCTAGGTACCTATGATGACACCTTCTGTCTCATGTAGGTAGTTCATGCATCAGTTTTATTTTATTTAACAATTTTAAATCAGTTGTAGGCAATTAAGGAATTAGTTGAGGGCTGCATATCTATTCTATTCACAAATATTGTGGCTTTATCTTATAAACTACATTTAGTAGAACTGGTGTTGCATTTCATTATCTATTGACAGAAATAATTGGAAAATGAAAATTTTGATCTTTTCAAGATCTCTGAATTATATATTTTAATCTGTTTACTTACTAATGTTTACTTACATATTTTTGGAGAACTAATTGTGTCCTACTTTGCAGAGCATGGACAAACCATCTTGGTCTGTACTTTGGTCACGTCCTTCCAGCACCATTTTTTGATTAGAAAATTGTCTTGTTGTTGACAATTTTTATTTGTATGGGCATACCATCTTGGTCTGTACTGTGGTCACGTTCTTCCAGTTCCATTTTTTGATTAGTGATGGCAGGGAAGATGTCGCGTCGTCGCGTGAAACTCTATGTTCTCAATTCTGAGCATCAGTGGGACGACCGAGGCACTGGACATGTCTCAGCAACGTATGTGCTTATATTGTCTTTTTGTATTATCAGTTGTTAGCATCAACCATATGCATGTATATGTTGGTGCCTAATCATGTCTTTATAGGTAGTATATATGATGTGTATATTTTTTGTCATTTTATCTAGGCATTCATTTTTCTTCCAGCTCCAATAGTTTATATATATGTATAATATATATATTTATACAGTGGTATATGTTATTTACTGGGCATTTCAAATTAACATCAATAAGAGTTTTTAGGTTGTTTATCGGAATTCCTTCCCCCTACTGTCAATAAAAGTAAGAATGCTGTTGTGAGAGTATATACCAATTAATGCTTTTATGAAAGACTCAAAAAAATCATTAGATATTCACCCGTCTTTGTGAATACTTTGTGTGAAAATCATTAAGTATTATATCTAATGAATTAATATTTATCTTATTTCAATAGAGGCATATGGTACTATTTGATAAATGGTGCTGCTCTCAGGTCATCCCTGTTGATCACTATTTATCTCCTCAAAAATCTTCTTTCTTTCATTTTCCATAGTATCTAATTTGAAATGTGTACTATTCTTCTCATAATGTTGTAAGAATTCTATGTGGTCATTCTATGTGCAATAATTTCATACCTATCAAATATTTTTTGTGTCCTGTTCTCATTATTGTATTTTGTCTATTTCATTCATGCTCATCCTTACTGATTTTATTCATCCTTCATTTTATTTAACAATTTCTTTTTTTCATGTAACAATGTATTCTTGCTTATGTCTGCTTCTTAGTTAATTTTTGTTCATTATTTTCTATCATCTATTTATTATTGCTTATGTCTGCTTCTTAGTTAATTTTTGTTAGTTATTTTCCTTCATCTATTAATTATTGCTCATGTGTGCAGATTTGTTTATCATCTCAAAGGCATCTGTCTTCTGGTGCTAGCTGAGGCGGACGGTGCCCCACTCCTGGAGTGCAAAATACAGGCAGACACAGCCTACCAGAAGCAGCAGGGCACGCTCATTGTGTGGTGTGAGCAGGACACATACGACCTTGCCCTCAGCTTCCAAGAGAAGGCTGGCTGTGATGAGATATGGGAGAAAATCTGTCAGGTAACATTACAGCATTTGGAATACTTGAACTTGATGATTTATATGATGAGGCTTGCATAAACATTTTAGATTACTAACACTGTCTTAACAATTTATGAAATAATGCAGAAATTTGAAGTTAGGGGTTGGACAAGAAAGCATGTAAAATTTTAGGATATATTAGTTGAAGGAATATTTTAATATTTTTCGGCTACTAGACTGAAAAAAATTGCCTTCAGGGGAGCGTTTACCCCCCCCCCCAAAATACTTACCTGAATGATCTTTCTGAAACTTTATACAGACATTTAAAACACTAATACAAGCATATTTTGTTAGTACGAATTTTTTTAGAAAATGGAGGAAAAAGTGAAATGTAAAGGAACTGGAAAAAGGGAGACTTATCTGATTTTGATTTACGAGCTAAAACATCGAGAGACAAAAATGTCATTCGATTTGTAAGGCAAATATCTAGTGACTCTAGAAGCCTCTTTATTAAAATTTATTCCCCCCAATCAGGGTTGGCGATTTTTTTGATTTCTTTAAAAAAAATAAAAAAAAAATCAAAAATCAATGATTTATTTGATTTTTTCATGATTTTTTTTATTTATTTGATTTTTTTGATTTTTTCAACTTTTTTGTCTTTTTGAAGTGTTATTTTTTATGTTGCAATTAGCCTACTAACAATAACAGTATATGGATCATATCTATACACACCGACTAGTAGTGACTGAGTGACTGACTGCACTGTTCCCATTTAATTCAGACCAATAAACCAATACTAAACATAAACTGAACGATAACCAAACAAACCTCATACAACTTTAAACGACACTTAAGTTATGAGAAAATCTAATACTGTTTGAAATGAACATGTGCACAATTCAAATATTTTATATCTATTCACTGCATTTAATTGTTATATATATAGTCTTATAATTGTAATTGTTTTGTTTCTAGTTTTAAATTCACATATTTAAAGATTGAAATTAAATATTTTAATTAGAATACTTGTATTAGGGTGGAAAATCTTTATAATTGCCCAAAAGGTCAATACAATCTCAACCTCCCAATATACAGGGTGGGGGAGAACCGATTGAGCAGTTTTGAGGGAAAATAAAAGAGTAATGGAGGTACATAAAGAAGAAAGTTTATTTTCCTAGAGGTTAGCATAACATACCATTTAGAATACTTATGTTTTGAAAACGATATCTGAAAGATGGTGGCTGTTAGCTGCAACACACTGTTGGAGTCGTTTTCAGAGGAGGGAGTAATCGTGATAGTGAATTCCGATCGCTATGCTGCAATGTTGCAAAATTTCTTGCAGTCCATGATGGAAAACATTGTTGAAAATGAAGCATTGGGAGACGTGTGGTTCCAGTAGGATGGGGCTACACAGCCCGAATGTCACTCAACACAGCCCGAATGTCTGTGTGAGCGAATGAATCGCTCACACAGCCCGAATGTCACTCAATGTTTTGAAATACATGTTTCCCGGATGTCTGGTGTCTCATAGGGGTGATTTGCAGTGGCCTGCAAGGTCACCTGATTTGAGCATTTGCAATTTCTTTCTTTGGGGACATCTAAAAGAAAGGGTGTTCAGAAGTCGCCCTCACACCCTACCACAGCTAAGGGAACGGATTATTGCAGCAGAGGTTATGGCCATACCTTGCCATAAGTGTGAACGTGCTGTAGAAAACTTCCGAGAACGACTCCAACAGTGTGATACAGCTAACAAACCCCATTTCCTGATATTGTTTTCAAAACATAAGTATTTTAAATGGTATGTTATGCTAATCTTGAGGAAAATAAACTTTTTTCTTTATGTACCTCCATTACTCTTTTATTTCGCCCCAAAACTGTTCAATCAGTTCTGCCCCACCCTGTATAAGCTAGCTAACACATTTAAATTGTATATTGTAATCAATATATAACAAATAGTCAAATAGTTAGACTACTTATAGCCTTATAAGAATTAGCTAAGCTGCTAGCTACGTACAATGTACTGCACACTTGATGCCTCTGTACCAAAAACATTCAATTTATTTGAACCTAATACACACTAAAGGCAACAAGTTTATATACCAATTTGTCATTCATAGTACATTTATCCTAAACCATGAATAACAATACCTCAATATAAATTAAAGACTGCCACTCAATATATTTAAATATATGAAAAAATCAAATAAATCAAAAAAATGGAAAAAATAAAAAAATCATGATTTTTTTATAAAAAAATCAAGTGATTTAATCACATGATTTAATCATTTTGATTTAATCATTGCCAACCCTGCCCCCAATATTCCTTAGTTTTTATTAACTGTTATCCAAACAATACATAAATAAGAAGAAAGGGCTCCTAGAGTTGATGAATATTCACTTAACAATTCAAAGAATGTGTTTTGTTGTTGTAGTTTGTAAATCAAAAGTAGATAACTTTTTAAGATGGAAATTTCAAATTGTTCAGGACCAGGACAGACAAATAAGTGAAAAAGGTCACAAAAGAAGCATATGATAAGAAATTGCTGGGTTTTGTATCTCTGATTTTCTCATTTTCTATTACATGTGTTGAGGGTACCATCATTTGCTGCGTGACTCCACTTTAACACATATAATTCACTGTGAAAACAATTTCTTAAAGAAATATTTATTCCAATTGTGAATAATGTTCATTTTTTACCAGTTAGAAACTGCCTCGCGCATAAACTAACGCACACACTTGAGTGCGGTTTGCTGCATTTGACGTGCCTCTTTTACTGTTAAAAAGTGTGAGCAGAAATCAAAATGCAATTTATTTCACTTTTAGGGATAAATACTCCCCTTGCTGTAATATTAGACGAGCAAATCTTAGAAACTAACTTGCTCCCATGAGATCCGATTCTTTAAAGTTGGTGATATTCTATTTCTACATTTAAATTAACTCATGATCATCAATTTTGGTTTCTAAACCTTAACTTTTTGTAAGGCTGATTTAAAATTTTGGGCATGGGATGATGTGCACTTCATCGCTTGACATATGCATGATAATAAAGCCTCAATGTTCAATATATGGTAACTTACGTGCCACAGAATAGAGATTTACTGTTAGGGTTGAGACTGCCTTTGTCCATACTTCTTTGAAGTTGAAGATAGGAGACATTTAAAGATTTTAACCTTGCCTTTGAATAAATAGTATGAAGTAATCTTTAATTTATCGGGACGGTTTCATATTATATTAGGCGCACTGAACACATTTGTGATTAGCTGAAACAATCTGATCAGAGATTCAACTTCAGAGTTGAAAAAGTTGGAAAAATTAAGATGAGTGAATTTTTTTTTTATTTATGAATAGGTACGGCCACAACTTGTTATCTTTGTAAAGATTGCATTGACACTGAATAAGCACCTCTTGTTTTCTTCAATGTACTATATGATATTCAGCGTTATATTTACGCTCGTTTTACTAACAGGTTCAAGGCAAGGACCCAAGTGTGGAGATCACTCAAGCGGTTGACGAAGAAAGCGAGGAGGAACGATTCGAAGAAGCCAACGACTCTAACGTTTATGTAGAGTTACCACCGTGCGAGATCGGCAAACTCGAGCAGATCAGCGAGGTGAGTTGTTATGGAAGTAACTCAGTGAAAATTTACAGACGCGGCAGCTTCTGATTTGGATTACCAGAAGCTGGGGCGACTCTAAATTTTGTTAGGGAAACTATCTTGCGCCAGATCAATTAGTGATCAGCAAGGTGAGTTGTTATGGAAGTAAACCATCGCTGCCATCTTGCGCCAGATTAATTAGGTTTCTGAAACTTCATACGCATATTTAAAACAATAATACAAGCACATTTTGCTAGTAGTAGTGACTAGTGAGATGAATTGTCTTAGTAGTGAACTAATTGGCATTTTGGGAGACTCAGGGTGGATATGAGTAGGCCTGAAGGATGTGATGCATCGTAGTTTACATTATATATTTATATATCATCTACCTATGTATTTTGCTCGTCTTAGCATGTTTGGAAGATCTTGATTATTAAACCTACTATTTGTCAAAACTTATGAGGATAAAACCTGTTGCAAATAACCTCTGTGTGCATCATTTCCAGATGCTTATATTGTTTAAAGTTTGCGGCATTCTATGTATTGACTTTAGGGCGGGTGAACATGTAACAAATGCATTATTTCTGATGTTATAATTTGGAGGCTCTATAATTTATCTGAAGAATATTTTCATGCAATTCCTGAACGCTTTTAGAGGTGGAGCTTCAAATTGCAATGGATGAATTTGTCACAAAAAGAACGATGTTGAAAATTGTATATATAAAATTGGACTATTCAAATATACTAATGGCGAACTATCTCACTGGAGATCACTTCAAATTTATGAATTGAATTCTATTGCTGAATGAAATTGCTTCCTTTATGATGAGCAAATGGCGGTTTCTGGCGACTGCATAGCGTCGAAGATCACGTGTTTGCATTCGGGTTGTTTTATTTTAGTCGCTAAATTAACTTGACTAAACTTACGTCACTTAGATGTAGCAATATATTTTGTTGGATGTTTCATTTACAATGAATTTTTCTGAGGATTTTCTGCATTTTTCGTCTGTATTTAGTTGCGCGGAACTTCAGCCATTCTAGTTCCTGTTTCTTATTCAGAGGCTTTTGAACAATTAAGTAATGTTGGTTCAGTATATTGTGCAGCAGCACTCAACCCTTAAAATTGTCCCCTAAATTGTGTAATTTCTGTGCAGCGCTCAAATAAATACCTACGCTTGTGCCCACAGTTGCTGTCGGGGTCGCTTCAGAATGTCAACAAACGAGACAAAATAGCGAACAGCATCGAGAAAGAGTGCTATATCAAGAAGCTCATTGACCTCTTCAGACTCTGTGAAAACGTCGAGAATTTCAAGTGTTTACACATTTTGTATGAAATTTTCAAGAATATATTCCTGCTTAATAAAAGTTCTTTATTAGAAGCACTTGTTTCCGACGAGCATATTTTTGATGTAATTGGTGCCCTTGAATACGATCCCTCGAACCCCACGCCCAAGAAACACAGGGACTTCCTTAAGTCCATGACCACCTTCGAGGAGGTGAGTAGGGTCTTTATATATATCACTTAGGCCTTTTTATATTCATCACTTAGGCCTTTTTATATTCATCACTTAGGCCTTTTTATATTATCACTTAGGCCTTTTTATATTATCACTTGGGCCTTTTTATATTATCACTTAGGCCTCTTTATATTATCACTTAGGCCACTTTTTCCGTGTCGTAGTAGTTGTAGGTCTTCATATCCATTGCTTGATGTTAGATAGCCCATTTTTCACATAGCATAGTAGTGGTAGCAGATGTTTCTGATAGGTTACTCAAGGTGAGCTGGCTAGGTGCTCTTGCATAAGGAGCAGTATGGTAGCAGGTGTTATTTTATTGTTCTTAAGAAGTGATTGCCTCAATCTCTTTCAAATAAGAGAGCAGTGGTTGATAACAAAAAAATTTTTAGTTCTATATTTATTAAGAGGCCCGTTCAAGGCGCTCAGCCGCGGTAATCGTCTATGGGTATTCTTAACTATGAATTCGACAGATAACTCCCCTCATAAATAAGATAAAAATCTGAAATTTGGAATGCTATCCTGGCTAATTTTTTTCAATCTGTGGATATTAAGATAAATTATATAAACACAGCGAACGGTTTATCTATTAGTGAAAAATAAGCCGCTGTCTGCAGTGAAGATGAGAAATTTTGCGCTAACTCGGGAAATAGAGAGAATTTAAATACATAGTAATTAAAATGTTTGTCTCGACGTAACTAAAAAATCCATGCACAATTAATGTACAGCTCATACTTCACTTTTCTCGCGCACCTTCGGCCCCGTCACTACGCTGCCAGACGCTGCCTGCCGCTGAAATTTACAATGCTCTCGCACAGTGTGCCGAGTTTAGAGTTGGAGCGTCCGTGAACGGGCCTCTTAATATAATAATATTCTTCATTATGGAAGTTTTAACCAAAGAATTTATGTAGTTACATTCCAAAATTTTCCTTCGTTCAGTTACATCGTGCTAACTAGTGAATCTCTTGTGCATAATAATTTTTGGATTGAAGATTCTTTACTTATGTTTTTCCAGAAAGTAATGTCTTCTTGAATATTAGAAATTTAAAAGCGAAGAAAACTCCACAAAAATTCAGCATTTCTATATTGAAAACGTTTCGGAGACCAGCTCCATCGTCAGTTCGATAAATCTAGAACACAAATACAGTCAGAAAATTAATAAAGTTTGGAAATATAAGAAAAAAAAAACAACAACAGAAGTTAAAACCTAAATTTACAGGCAAAGGGCAGAATAATAAAGAAATACCTATCTATTCACACTTTCTAATGGATAAGAACTGTAGGCAGCATTTAAACTAGGCTTCTCTTTAAAAATATACAATGATTTCAAAATGCGCAGATCGGAAGCACCAGAACTATAAGCTAAATTCTTGAAGTCAGTGTCGGACACCGGAACGTTGCACTGTTCGGCGTGAGTGCGCACAGCCGAATGAGGAGGGCGCGATAGTAACTGCCCAGTCCTATAACTCCTCCCTTTATGCTCAGCGACCCTAGTGTAAAGGTTTCGTGCCGTCATTCCGACGTACGCAGATGCACATCGTGCACAATTAAATTTATAAACTAGGGACGATCGCATGTGAGAAGGGAGGATATCTTTGTACCTAAAAAACGAACCTATTTTGAAATTGTTTACCAGTAAGATACGAAGATTAATGTCCGGAAAGTATTTCATAAATAAATCTTTTAATTCTCTTGACATAACTTCGGACGCATGACCGAAGTATGGAAAAGAACAGTAAACCACTTTTCTACTATCAGGCTCTGGAACAACTTCACTGTATCGCTTAGACATGAATTTCTTAATCTGGGTAAACACCAGGCCAGAAGGAAATCCATTAAGCGAGAAGACGTTGCGCAAAAATTCAAATTCAGAATGCATGGCATGGAAAGTCGAGCATATACGAAAGCCGCGGTGTAATAGTGTTTGAAGCCCGTTTAACTTGAATCTAAAAGAATAAAAACTAAAGAAGCTGGTGCTTAGGCTGGTGAAAGTTGATTTTCTGAAAACAGATGTTTGAAAACGGCCATTAGATTTAGTAATATTGCAGTCTAGAAAGGACAAACTATTGTTCGATTCAAGTTCCATTGTGAATTTAATAGAATTATGTTGCAAGTTTGGGTAATCGAAGAAAAGTTTTACATGAGAGGGATGCTTGAAAATAAGAAAGGTGTCATCGACATATCTGTTATAAAAAATTGGTTTAAGGGGATCGGCTACCCTCTGGAAAAACTTCTACAGTTATTATCCGATTATCATGAAACTTCACATACATACGTAAAAGGTAAAAAGAAATACATTTTGCTCCTATGTATTTTTCGGAAAAATTGATAGAAAACGTGAAATTCATAAAAAACGGCTAAAAAGGGGTACTTCAGAAAATCTATCTCCTCCCACAAATATCATCCTACAACATCGAGACACGTATAATTTGATTCGTAAAGACCATATCTATCGACTCTAACATCACTTTTTTCATTTATGCGTCAATATTGCCGTACATGGATCGCAGTAGTATCGTTGGAAAGCTCAGAATGTCAGCTTTAAGATGAGACTAAGCATGTAACTGCAGCACAATTCAAGTAGAAACTATATTCAAATATTTCAGCAGCTAATTACTTTATATCTAATTACTTGAAGAACTCTCTCACCCGCTTCCCTTTAAAGAGACGTCATGAACGTAAATAATGGCGTACAGCGATGGCAGTGGTACCATTGGAAAGAGCAGAATTCCAGCTTTCAGATGAGCACAAAAATCGAAAAACGCCAAAATTGAAAATTTTAGGGTAGCCGATCCCCTTAAAATCAGGAGGACAATTGGTCAGCCATGAAACCTCGTGAAAACACATAAAAATATTCGCAAAGGTTGGGCCGAGGGGAAGACCCATGCCCAAACCGTCAATCTGTCTGTAAAATTTACCAGCAAATATGAAAATCGAATTTAGAACTGATAATTCCAGCAGGGATTTAAAAAAATTTCGGTTCAAACCAATAACAGTATCATGAATATCTTTAAACAAAGTATTTAGACAGATCTCAATAGTTTAAAAAAGCGGTATATTTGTAAATAAATTTTCCACGTCAAAGGAAGCCGTTTTCAAACATCTGTTTTCAGAAAATCAACTTTCACCAGCCTAAGCACCAGCTTCTTTAGTTTTTGTTCTTTTAGATTCAAGTTAAACGGGCTTCAAACACTATTACACCGCGGCTTTCGTATATGCTCGACTTTCCATGCCATGCATTCTGAATTTGAATTTTTGCGCAACATCTTCTCGCTTAATGGATTTCCTTCTGGCCTGGTGTTTATCCAGATTAAGAAATTCATGTCTAAGCGATACAGTGAAGTTGTTCCAGAGCCTGATAGTAGAAAAGTGGTTTACTGTTCTTTTCCATACTTCGGCCATGCGTCCGAAGTTATGTCAAGAGAATTAAAAGATTTGTTTATGAAATACTTTCCGGACATTAATCTTCGTATCTTACTGGTAAACAATTTCAAAATAGGTTCGTTTTTTAGGTAAAAAGATATCCTCCCTTCTCACATGCGATCGTCCCTAGTTTATAAATTTAGTTGTGCACGATGTGCATCTGCGTACGTCGGAATGACGGCACGCAACCTTTACACTAGGGTCACTGAGCATAAAGGGAGGAGTTATAGGACTGGGCAGTTACTATCGCGCCCTCCTCATTCGGCTGTGCGCACTCACGCCGAACAGTGCAACGTTCCGGTGTCCGACACTGACTTCAAGATTTTAGCTTATAGTTCTGGTGCTTCCGATCTGCGCATTTTGGAATCATTGTATATTTTTAAAGAGAAGCCTAGTTTAAATGCTGCCTACAGTTCTCATCCATTAGAAATTGTGAATAGATAGGTATTTCTTTATTATTCTGCCCTTTGCCTGTAAATTTAGGTTTTAACTTCTGTTGTTGTTTTTTTTTCTTATATTTCCAAACTTTATTAATTTTCTGACTGTATTTGTGTTCTAGATTTATCGAACTGACGATGGAGCTGGTCTCCGAAACGTTTTCAATATAGAAATGCTGAATTTTTGTGGAGTTTTCTTCGCTTTCAAATTTCTAGTGAATCTGCGATTCAAGCAATCTAGTGACATTATTTCTTGAATATTAGGCTAGTCCACTACACTTCAGTATTTACCATGATACTTTAACTGAATTCATGCTTCTCTTGGTCAACTACATCCATCATTTATTTGCTATTTATTAATTGCTTACCAGTTTGCAATTAGCATAGGTATTAACCTGTCTCCATATGGTAGCTTTCCTCACATGAATGTTACCCATTGTTGATTTGTTTATCTGCAGGTCATCCCAGTAGAGAACAGTGAACTGCTGAACAAAATCCATCTAATGTACCGAGTTCAATACATCCGAGACGTGGCTTTACCAAATCAAACGGTGTTCGATAAGAACCTGCCATCCACGCTCACCTCCTTTATATTCTCCAACAAAGTCGAGATAGTTTGTCTTATGCAGGTATGAATTTTAGCAGTCGCCGATTCTCTTACTCACTTGCTGCTTTATTTTATGTCAATTCCCTAAATATATTTTTTTCTTGGAATGAACTTAACACGTTGACTTAGAAGTGGTACATATGCGTACCACGAAGCGTATTTCTCCATGACGTAGTGGTACATAATTCAGGGTTGCGAGGTAAACTAAAAAACGGCCGCGAACAAAAAAGGCCTACAACCCAATATATACTGGTATATTTGTAGGTTCCTTGGTTAAAAATTCCATTTATTTTTTGCAGTTTTTAAAATTTAATTAGGAAGTACCCTCATCATAAATTTTAGCCGGCCAACGGATTTGGAAAAAAAAACTTGATCGCAGAATTTGTCCGGGAAAAAAACCGTCTGGCAACCCTGTTGACAGACGTACAAAAAATAGTACAAGAAATGAAATAATGGTACAAAATGAAGCAATCGGAGTCAACGTGTTAAGGGGAGCATGTACGTAAAAAAACGTTATGTTCATTCATGGAAGGGTCGTTTTGAAACTCGGTCCGTGTATATAAAATAAAAATCTAAAATTTTTGTTCGTGTAAATTTTTAAAACAATGAAGGAAAACGTGAAATTCATAGAAAACGGCAAAATAAGCAACTTTACGAAATTGATGTGAGATTTTACCACCAATGATATGCTTATGATAGAAAGATGGTCTAGACTCTAGAGCATCCATCGAATTCATCCCGTACAGTGTAATTATTACAACACTTCTCTTTAACTTCACTTCTTGTTGTTTGTTTGTCTGCTACAAATCTTATAATCGATATTTAACACACTTCTACCTGTCCAATCGATCTGAAATATGGCACACATGCGTAAATTTGGAGACAGTGCATGAATCAATTGACAGAATAAATAATTATAAAATTTGAAAAAAAATTGTCATTATTAAAAAAAATTAAAAATAATTTCGTCTGCTACAAATCTGATAATCCATGTATGAAAATTTGACCTGTCCAATTGATCTGAAATTTTTCACAATTGCATAAAGTCAGAGACAATGCATGAATCATTTGACAGAATAAATAAATTTGAAAATTTACAAAATTTTGATATCTTAAAAAAATTTGAAAAACAATTTTTTTTTCACTATTTGAAAATTGAAATAGAAATTCATTGTACATGTGTAACATCCAAGACACTGGATTGGTCAGAAGTGTTGTCTTTAAAAAGTAATTTTTAAATGCATATTAGTTTTAGAATCTTTTTACAACACTTCTATTTAACTTCACTTCTTGTTTGTCTGTCTGCTACAAATCTTATAATCAAAATTTAACACACTTCTACTTATCCTATCGATCTGAAATTTTGCACACTTGCGTAAAGTTGGAGACAATGCAAGAATCAAATGACAAAATAAATTATTTGAAAAATTAAAAATAATTGTTTTAATATTAAAATAATTGAAAAAATAATTTTGTCAGCTACAAATCTTAACTGATATTTGACACACTTTTACCTGTCCAACTGTTCTGAACTTTTGCACACTTGTGTGAAGTCGGAGGCAATGCATGAATCAATTGACAGAATAAATAATTTTGAAAAAAAAATTATTTATAAAAAAAATTGAAAATTTAAGTTTTTTAATATTCGAAAATAAAATGAAAAATTCATTGTACATCTTTAACATTGGAGACACTGGATTCTTTAGAAGTGTTGTCTTTTGACTGTTTTTTAATGCTGCTTCTGTTCTATAACATAAAGCTATATTATAATTAATTATTATATAACAATTTATTATTTTTCAGGTTGACAAAAGGTTTCTGAGCGAATTGTTCCTGCAGCTGAGTTCTGAAGACGTTCCTGTACAGAAGAGAAGAGATCTCATCCTATTCTTGAAGGAGTACTGTATGTTCTCCCAGACGCTGCAGCCACCTAGCAGAGAGTCGTTCTACAAGGTATAATTCTGTTCTATGTAGCTAACCGTTTATCAGCGGACTAACTAAACGTCGTCAATGCCATTACCAATTATTAACATCATCAATGCTATTAATAAAGAAAACCGTGCTATTACCAATGACCGTCGTCAATGACCAGAGTTGCCAGAGTTACTTGGAGTCTATGTTCTATATACAGATACATTAGCTCATCAAACGCTAATCGTATCGTAGGACTAGGCGTGTCACTAGAGTTCTTTCATCAGTAAAAGTACGCCTTCCGAAGTGAAAATATCAACTGCCTTAAGTTTTTCTCAGAAGATTTTCCCCAAGGTGATTTCCCTCTAAATTTTAACCCCAAAATCCCACATATCCATTGCTTGTATTTTCTCATAGGAATTTTCACTATTTACTCATCAATTTATGACCCTGATGTTTACTTGCAGACTCTGAACACATTCGGCGTTCTGGGCGCCTTGGAATGCACCCTAGCCATCGACGACGCTGTAGTGAAGGCGGCGAGTGTGGAAGTTTTGGGTTTCGTTGTGAAGTTTTCACCGTCAATGGTGCGGGACTACATGATCCAGCAGCAGCACAACAAGTTGGATGAGGTGATATACTAATTAATCCAGCTGCACTGCAAGCTGCATTAGTTATTTTGCTACTACTTACAATAAGTTTCAGTGCCATTCAATATAATAAATTTGACTTGAGCTTTAGTATCGTTCAATATCTTGTTGGTTCATCAGTAGCACAGGATTTTGTGATCGGCTCCAGGGAACTCGCGTACTCTGCTAGTTAATGATCGCTTACTTTGATGTTGCTCCATGCCGTTCAACATCTTTTCATATCTTGTTAATGGTAATAAGAAAAAAATTGAAAAATGTCCTTGATTGAAAGTTCCTACTGAAGATATCCAGGTTATTTTTAAAAGTCTCGTCTAAATATTTACATGTTAACGATCAAGTCTGGATTGATGTTCATGAACTTTATTTATTGGCACCTATTTTTGAGCTGTTACCCAAGTAGTGCTTTAAGTTTGAGGCACGATAGCAGTAACGCTGTTTATAATATTTCATTATTATAAATTTCTGTTGTAACGCAAGATTATTCACAGGAACACTACCTGCTGAACATCATGGTGGAGCAGATGGTGGTCGACTGTGACCCCGAGATGGGAGGTGCCGTGCAGCTCATGGGCATCCTCAGGATCCTCATAGACCCTGAGAACATGTTGGCCACCAACAACAAGGCGGAGAGAGTCTACTTCCTCACCTTCTTCTACAAACACTCCATACATTACCTCATAGGTACAGTGTCTTTAGGAGGGATCACTTGTGTAGGTAGTGTGCCTCATCTTCTACAAACACTCCATGCACTACCTCATAGGTACAGTCTTAAGGACGGAGGTATCACTTGTGTAGGTAGTGTGCCTCATCTTCGACAAACAATCCATACATTACCTCATAGGTACAGTCTTAAGGAGGGAGGGATCATTTGTCTAGGTAGTGTGCCTCATCTTTTGCAAACACTCCATACATTACCTCATAGGTAAAGTGTCATAAGAATAGAGGTATTACCTCATTACCATTTAGGTGTGGTGTTCACTTTGACCGATTTAACTGCCTGCATCCTTTCCACAGGATGTTAGTTGTTAGCAAGATAGGTTCCTCGTGATATGACTAAACTCTTGTAAACCAGATGTGCCTTGGTCAAAAAATTATGTTCTGTTCTACAGCCGGTGCTCATGGCCGAATTAATTAACTAGTAATGTGGTCTATTAACCGAAATTGGCTGTTCTCTCTTCAGGGTGTGTGATTATAAAATTTGATGTATTTTTATCCATTTCCAGTTTCATTGCCTTCATTTTGCGTGTAATTTGAACCAATATTTCGATTATATACGCAGGAAGTCCTCTTACTTTATATTAATTTAGATACTAGTGCCAGGATATTGTATTAATTTGTTCTCCTCAGCTCCGCTTCTGAGTAATACGGTGGGCGATGTCGTGGTGCGGGAAGACTACAAGACGGCAAAGCTCGCCGCTCTCATCCTAGAGCTGCTCTCCTTCTGTGTCGAGCATCACTCCTTTCATATCAAGAACTACCTCATACACAGAGAACTCTTGAAACGCGTCTTGGTTCTTGTTAAATCCAAACACAAATTCCTTGTTCAATGTGAGGTTATCAATATGTGTGTTTCATACTAATCTATCTGGTGCGATGCTGCCCTCGATTTAGATTACGTTTTCAGGAAAAAAATTTAATGATATTAGTACCGGCTCGGTTTTTGAAGTGTCAGATTTATTTATTTTTCATAAATATTGAAATTTGTCTTGCATCATGTTGGGGGTGCCACGAGAGTCATGATTTAAATCGGACAAGTTGAGACTTTTATTATCGAGAGAGAAATTATTAAGTTCCTTCATGTTGAACTTGCGTATGAATGCACGCACCTTAATGTATTTGAGTTATGGATTAAGCGAATAAATTTCAAAAATTAATTTCTTTTTCTGTTGTACTTTGAAACTTGCTATATCAATACTTTTATGTTAAGTATTAGTTTGCCTTTGTTTATAATTATTAGTTCGTGTGACATCATTATTGGGGCATTATTGTATTTTCAGGTGCGATTCGGTTTATCAGAAAGATAGTGGGCATGAAGGACGAGTTCTACAACCGGCACATTATTGCTAACAATATTTTTGCTCCATTGATCAACGCTTACACCCGCAACGACGCTCGTTATAATCTCCTCGACTCTGCCATCCTCGAGCTCTTCGAGTTCATCAAGTCGGTCAGTAACGATTCGTAAACTACATATACATATTCGAAGGAGAATTGAGGTTTGCAATGATTTTCACTCCCGTTACGATTCCTTATCCAAGTACACTAGCGGGACTCTTGTGACTCGCCTTGCATGGTGCAGTCATTAGACAAGCGAGTCATGACGCATTTACTGCACAACAGTTTTTTTACGAAGTTCCTCGTTGCATAGCATCATGGGTTCAAATCAACTGTAAATTTAAAGACATTTTTTTTATCAAGATTTTTCCGTGTATTTCTAACTTTCTTCTAACAATCTATCCAGTGGTAATCAAGGTAACCAATGTTCACACGTTGGTTACCTTGATTTCAGTAATCGCACAGCACAATCGTAAGATTTGTAATGTATAAACGCTGCTGAATTCCTCTGAGCATCTATCAATACTCGGGACTAGGCAGAAATACATCTCTGACAGTTAATAAAAAGTCTTGGTTGACTGAAAATTGCATTTTTTCGTTTTAATTAAAAGCGATGTAATGTAAAAATTTGTAATTGATTCAGACACAGTGCATTGATAATACCTACCTTTGTTCCAAATTTCATTTTATTTCTGTAATTTTTCTGTGTGTTCACATGTTATGACTTTCATATTCATATACATTTTCTCATTCAGGCAGGTTTCATTAAAGACCAGTCCAAAATCGACAATTTTCTGCTTTTCCTGTCGTTATGATCATCTTAAAGCTGACATTCTGACCTATCCAACAGTACCAAAATCATCTCTGTACGTTGATTTATGCGTTCACGACAGATCCCGAAAGACTTACCTTTTGTCGAGTCCTTCGCAAAACCCTACCAAGAATATTAACGGAACCTGCACATATAAGCCTGGTCTGACGGCCTTGAACTTAGTTACCCCCAAACTGTCATGTGGGAAGGTGTCATGCAGTCGTTCTCTACATCGCTGACTCGCTTCTAAGTGAAAGAACACGTAACTTCGCTATTATAGCTACGGTAAATGGCTATATTTAGCGCGGTGCGATTGGCCAGCCGTATCGTGACTGACAGCTGGACACTACAAGGAATGATAGTGACACCACAAGGAATGATAGTGATAACATAGAGCTGGACACCACAAGCTGGACACCACAAGGAATGATAGTGATAACATAGAGGAGATATGGGAGCAGCAGAGAAATGCCTGTACAAAAGCGGCAGAAGAGGTTCTTGGGTACAAGAAAAGGGTAAAAAAAACATGGATCAGCAACGATACTTGGAGGCTGATCGACGAGAGAAGAATTGCCAAGATACGGGTTGAAAGCACCCGATCAGAAAGAATTAAAAACAGAATGAGAGAAGAGTACAGAGAAAAGGACAGGGAAGTGAAGAGGAGTGTAAGGGAAGACAAAATGTGGATGTCGGAAGAAGCGGCGAGAGCACAGAACGCAGCAGAAAGCGGAAGACAAAAGAATTGTACAGTATTGTGAAGCGGCTGACAGGACAGAGTACCAGCACCAGGCAAACTGCAGCAGTGAAGAGTGTGAACGGGGAGCTGCTGAAGAGCAAAGAGGCCAGAATGGCGAGATGGAAGGAACATTTTCAGGAAGTTCTCAACAGAGAAGCACCAGAGGAAGTGGGAGAGGAAGGACAGGAGCTCGATATCTCAGTTGAGGCACCAGATGTGGCGGAAATAAGGGCCACACTGAAGACCCTCAGGAATGAAGGTGCCCCTGGGGCAGACCAAATTTCAGCCGAAATGCTTAAAGCAGATATCGAACGGACCAGCTTAGAGTTGAAGCGGATATTTGACCTGATTTGGGACCAAGAGACGGTGCCAACACTGTGGACCAAGGGACTCATTTGCAAAATCCCAAAACGAGGGAACCTTCAGGACTGTGGAAACTGGAGGGGAGTTACATTGTTGCCTCTGGCCAGTAAGGTGCTCAGCAAGATCATCATCAACAGGATACAAGGTGGAGTGGATACATTGCTCAGGAAGGAACAAGCAGGCTTCAGGAGGGGAAGAGGAACTGGGAGGGGAAGAGGAAGTGGAAAGCTTCACATATCTGGGTGCAAACGTCACTAAGGATGGTGGGAGCACAGTGGATGTGAGGAGACGAGTGGCAATGGCAAGCGCGCAATTCAAAAGACTAACAAACATTTGGCAAGCCAGAAACATCAGCAGAAAGACCAAAACCTCCCTGTTCAAGAGCCTGGTTCTTTTAGTTTTGTTATATGGATGTGAGACCTGGAAACTAACCTAAGGAGAAGAGAGAAAACTAGATATCTTTCAGACCAAATGCTTATGGAAGATTTGCAAGATCCGATGGCAGCAACACATCTCAAACAAGACGGTTCTTGATATGACAGAAGTGGAGAAAATCAGTGATGTGGTGAGGAGACGGAGGTGGAACTCGGTGGGACATGTGTTGAGGAGGGACAGCAAGCGACTGTGCTGTGGCCCTCGGGTGGGCACCTGAAGGAAGGAGGAAGAGAGGACGCCCAAAAACAACTTGAAGGCGAATGGTGGAAGAGGAGAGAAACAGAGCAGGCTGGAAATCGTGGAACATAGCACGGCAGGCAGCTGCAAACCGGACCCAGTGGAGGAGTGACGTCCAAGCCTTGTGCGCCTTATGGCGCGGAGAGAACTGAACTGAACTGGGCCTATACTTTCAAAAAAAAATTGAGAGATCGTAAGTTCATCAGCCAATCATTGACGGCTTTTCGAGCAAAATCCACCAATCATAGACAAGAAAATAGTGCTTAAGTACTTACGTTCACTTAGCGAATTTTGAAGGTATGGCCCCTGGCCGGCCGTTTGTCGGCTCTCCTGGACATTCCTTAACATCGCACTTCCTCTCACTGCAAACCTATCTCCTCCTACAGTTTTGAAGCTACAGAATTGAGACACATATCATTCGATTCACAAAGAAAAGAAATAAAGATTGGTCAATGATTTTTATAATTTCGTTATAGTTTGGATTCTATTTAGAAAAAAGGAGGGGGCGGAGGGTAAAAATCGAAAAATTTACGAAAAATTCCCCCCACCCACAAGAATTAGAATTTCGAAAAAGAAATGAATGACCAATCGATAGATATGGTCTTAACGCACCGAATGATATGTGTCTCGATGTTTTAGCTTGAAAATCCTAGGAGAACGTGAAAGAAAATCACGTTTTCTTTCATTTTTTTAAATATTTTACACGAACAAAAAAGTCTTAGATTTCTGATTTGCACATGTGAACCAAGTTTCAAAGTTATCCGTCCGTAAATAAAAAAGTTTTTCTGGGACCTAGGCGCTCCCCTTAACTATTTTTGTCAGTGATTGGTGGATTTTGCTTGAAAGGTCATCAATGCTTGGCTGATGGACTTTCAAACACAGTTGCATCCAATTTCTCAGCCAATCTTAGGAGCTAAGGGATATGGCGCTGTGATGGAAGGTATATATGTATTATATATAGTCTACTCAAGCACATGTTGAAAATGTATATACAGGGTCATCAATATTTAGCGTTACAACTTTGAGTGGTTAGAACTATGAAATGAAACACAATTGTGAATGTTTGAAAATGTATTTATGTAGGCAGAGGTTCAAAGATACAATTCCCACAATTTCATTCAATATGTCCACCATCTGCATCAATAACGAGTTGTAGACGCTTAGAGAAAGCCTTACACGAGTCACGAATGACACTCTGCGGGATTTTGGCCCACTCCTTCAGCAGTTTGACCTTTAGGGCGTCCAAACTGCTATGGTGAACGGTCGAGACCTTGCTCTCAAGGTATGACCAGATCCCAAAATCCAGAGGATTCAGATCGGGTGACGATGGAGGCCATTCATCTTTGGTAATGAAGTGGGGAACATTCTCGGACAGCCACTCCTGAATCGATTTGGCCCCATGGGATGGTGCAGAGTCCTGCTGGAACGACCAGGGACGTTTTTTGAAATGCTTTTGTGCCCAGGGCAACAATGCACCAACAAGGATGGCATCTCGATAGTTCTTCTGATTCAATTTCACCCCTTTGTCAACAAAAAAGAGGGGACTCCGTGAGGACTCTGTTACGGCTGCCCAGGCCATCACTGAGGTCGGGCATTGCTTCCTAGTCACCATTCGGGATCCTTTGTCCCGATTCTTCGACCAAATTCGATCATTTTGGTAGTTGAAGTGGTGTTCAACATTGAATATCTTCTCATCACTGAAAACGAGGTTTGGCAGCGTGCTATCATGAATGCGGGAAAGAAGAATCTTAGATCTTTGGAGACGTTTGTCAACAACTTGAGCAGACAGTTGGTGTTTTTTGACACTATAAAGATGATAAATGATAAATAATGATAAAGATTAATGAGAAGGTGTAAACAAATGACAAATATCGAGGACAATTATCAACAATTGATTTTGAAAAAAATGTAACGCTAAATATTGATGACCCTGTACTTGCCAAGATGCCAATCTGGCAAATAGATCTTCATTGTTGGGGTATTCTGCTTATTGTATAAAATTGTTGGACTGTTAATGTGAGCTCTTAGATTTTACACTTACCAAAATATGTGATTCTTAAGTTACAAAAATATCAGGAAAACTTGAGTTTTCTGTGCGTGCCTCAGGCCTGTGTTCTAATGTGTGGGTGTTTACACATGGCAAACTGTAAGGAAATCACACAACCACAACAGCTAAAAATTTTATTGAAACTCCAACAGATAAGACTTTGGATTCAGCAAAGTAGACTATACAAAACTACAGTGAGGAAACTGAAATTGGAAAAAATAGGTCTTATGACATGAATGCCGGAGCTTGAGAAAATACTATAGCAATTATGCTCTGTATTTCCAATTTAGTGGTACAAGACTTGACAGTGAACACATTTCCCAGTCCAACTTTGAATAAATAATGAATATTGAATACTGCAGAATTTACCAGTTGCCCTGGCACCGCATCTCATACATGGTATGAGATGCAGTGAGAATACCAGAGGTTATACTGTAAATTAACGGTTAAAAATCAGATTGGACATACAAGTAAGTGCTATAGGATCCGTTTCAATTCTTCATTGTTAGGGTCAAGAAATATATATCCATTATACAAAATAAAATTAAATATCATTAGACTAGCCTTCTAAATTATTACCGCTGGCTCAAGTGGTTTGAAAGCCGTTCAGAGGTTAATGGTGTTTAACAGTGCAATTGTTAGGAAATTTATGAATGGCCAACCCAGCTTCACTAAGTAAATTTGGTTAAAGCACCACAAGGCATTGTTGAAGCTCAAAAGCCAGCAATTCAGCGAGTGCAATTAATGTGTCAAAGAGTCTTTTAAGTGTTGGGCCAGATCAAAGGAGTGACATGACATGCATTAAATGACAAGGGGCCCATAACATGCAATAAATCAAATAGTCAAAAGGAAGCAAATTGCACTTGTGCTGCTGTGAGTAATACAGCAGCCAAAAACACCATGAGTCGCCTCCATATCCCATGAGCTTTCAAATAATAATGATTGGTAATGCTTCATTGGTTTTCTTGAAATCGATAACCAACCTAACTTAATCTTTAAGGTCTTTGTCAAATTAAAATTGGAAGTAAATTTCAATAAACGGCACTAAATTTCTTATAAAACATCACATACCAAATTGAGGAGCTGAGATTTATATGCATATCTACCACTTGTATTGACCAACAAATATTCACCAACTTCTCAGCACGTACCATTAGTTCCTTTGAACTCATGGGAATATGTCAAAAAATATCTGTGTTGGATATAATCCAGTCCAATATCACATGTTTGATACATTATTGTTTGAAGGTTTTGTTATTTCTTCTTCTCAAATTATTCTATACATAGGAAAAGACTCTAATGGATAGTAATTCTTTTCCTAAAGCTTTCTCTTCAAAAAAAAAAAAAGAGTCCCAAAATCTGAACTCTTGCCAAGTTAGAGTCATGGGCTTGTTATCATTTCAAGTTTCTGTACATAACCTTTCTCATGTCTCTTGGTGCTGGCAAAAAGAAAGTGTCTATTTATTTAGATTGTAGAACTATTTCATTTGATTAAATAGGGCGTTTTTTTAAGTTAGTTTTGAGATTTTTCTCTTTTATTATATTTCTGTTATTATACCGGCAATCGCTTTAATTTCGTCAGGTTGGGTCCGCAGTGGTCAGTAACGGCACGTGAATAGGTTCTTGTATGAAAAGGACTCGGCAAAATAGTACAAAGAGAGGGTTGTAATGAAACACTGATACATTTTACATTAAATTGGAAAATTCAAGTTCACATCCTACGTTAACAAAAGTCTCTAGTACATGAAAAATGTAATTTGACACATTCAAAATTGAGAACCTATCAGTTTACATACGTTGATAAATTGCAGTTCCGTTGAGCCGTACGACCGTTGCAAACGACCGTATTTGATGTTGATTTTCTTGACGTGCTCACCGGACTCATAGATGCCTCGATAGTCTAGGTTTCTCGCGAGTCGCGACCGTCAATGTTCGAAAACGACAAACCGCCGGCCTCACGGCCGCGTCCGTTGCAAAGTCCGCTGCAGACTGTGCTCGTGACCGTGACTTTCGTAGAACCAACCCTTGGCGCGAATTTTAAGGTCCTTATATACGCTAGTGTCGCGCACAGTTAAGCCTATACCCTCGAAGTGACGCCGCGACGGTTGTGAGTTCCACAAGGTCAGCACCTTTGATACCCTCGCCGTTTCAAACTATAAACAACCCTCGCTCTCCCGGTCTCGAGAACAACAGCACCTTATTTACAAGCTTTACACAGTTCCACCCCAAATTCCTGTTGCCTTCTCAACACTTTACTCTAAGTCTCTAACTTTCATAACTCAATTTACGAATTAATTCACCCACAGACTGCGTTCTATAAAATATAATATAATTTTAAGTCAGAATTACCGACGCTCTAATCACATTCTTGATAAACAAACAGCTGCTAATTGTAAAGTTAACACAAAATGTTGGTAATTGTCATGGAATTAACTTAAATGTAATGCAAAAACTAATATTGAATCTCATTCTAATGCATGTAACCACAAGTTAATTTATTTTGCTTTCATGGCCGTGAAGCTATTTATTTGTCTTGGGAGGCGGAATTTATTTTATTAATTTCTTTCTTCTTTTGTGAGCTGTATTTGTAACTGAATGCTGAAATGTGTTAAAAATTAACTCAATGCCTAGTGAATCCACAGATCTGAATCATGTCACTACACTAATTAAATTATTTTCAACTTTTAAAATTTATGAATTTTGGATATGCTATAGAGAAACTTGTTAACTAATTTCTATCATTCTTTCGAAAGAACTGTTCAAAATTTCAGTTCTGCTGAGACAGATTTTATAGAAACTAATATATTCAGAGGGATAATCTGAACTGAAACATGTCGGGGAGGTGACCTTGCACTAAAAAAAATATATATGTTCTGCGATGTTAAGAATCGGCGACAGGCCTACGGCCTAATAAACGCTGAAACCGCTATTATTATTAATATATATTTGCCTAAAACTGAGAGACTTTTTTCATAGTGATGAAGAAAATTATTTTATCTTCTAGAATGTGAAATTTACATTTTATCAATTAACATTTTTGACAACTAACTATCTACATTTTACTTGAATGCTTTTCAGACTGTGCCTATGGCTGAGTTAGTGGATATCAATACAGCTACAGTGAAGGATCTTGAGACACTTAAAGGAGTTGGACGTATCAGAGCTGAGAATATAGTTGAGATGAGGAGGGTGAGTGCTTTACCACATCTTTTAATTATTGCGCTTGCTTAATGATGTTCAATTTGCAGATGTGACCATAAATTTGTTTTTATATTTTCCTTTATGATGTATATTCCTAAAAGAAAATGAACTGAACTCTGGAAACTTCATTTGTTAATTAAAGGAATCCAATATGTTATTGGCCATATGGTGGAAAAGCTGAAATTATTCTATATTTTTTTTGGTAAAATTACAGGAGTTTAAATTTCCACTTCATCACTTATGGCCTCTAAAATCATGAGGTTTAATTGTAATGATATAATTCACTATCTCTAGTTTCATATTTTGTTTTCAGTGGAAAGGTTCATTCAATAGCTTGGAAGAACTTCTCGATGTACCTGGGATCGGTCGCAATGTGTTGCATCAAAACAAGTGGGTTCTTGTTTGTGAAGTTCCAGTGCAGAAGTTGAAGACTTCACCTGACGATTCCAGCCGGTCAAGTAGCCGTGCCTGCCTAAGTAGCACACCTCACAAATCTCTGCGCTCGCCTCCAGTTAGTGCTAGTCTCATGGAATACTTTTATAGCAATAGGCCATGGGCCTATTTCTTCAATGCCGACACTATTCATGTTTTTTGTGTCTCGTTCAGTAATGTAATCCATGCAGTGAAAACTGCCAATTAGCTATACACCTCACATATGTTGCAAGTATTTAGGTTAGATAATTTCTTGAATATTATGTTTCATGTTGTGTCACTCAGCTAAGTGTCATACCACAACATGTATAAGGAATTATATTTTTTTTTGCAAAAAATATTATGCAGGGTATTTTGCTTGTATAAACTTTTTATTTTTTGTCATTCTGTGTGGATTCTTGTAAACTAGGGATGATTTTACTGTTATGCATTACTTCATAAGTATTTTTGCAAAGCACTGGCAAATTACTTATAGTATCTATAAATTTAATCCTTGATCAGATTTACCTTACCCTGGTGTTTGAGAAGGAGTCATCATTATTGTATTGGGGCATTAACAGCGGTGGTTGCTGACAATAGGCTTGCTATATTATCAAATAAAATTTGCCATAAGTATTCCTCACTTAATGCCTTTTGTTTAACTATGAATCTGGAGATATTCCATTGTCTTGCTTATTTTCCCTTGTAGAATGCTTCAATACTTTTGCATAATAATGCCACACCATGGAAAAAACTTCTGTTGCTTTTTCAGTTTTAGTATCAAAAAATTTATTTTTATTGGATAAAATAAATACCACATATGTTAAATTAAATAAATACCAAATTTTCATCTTAATGTAACAGTGTTGCATGCATGAGTGGAAAGACCCTGCATCGCTGGGATCTTCAGCTAATATGCAGCGACACGCTGATGACCCTTCCTTGGGTCTCCCACTCAATCCAAGCTCAGTTCCAGCTGACACTACTGGCCCAGCAATTGCTAATTCAAAATCCGAAGCAAGGCAACTCTCCGGTGCATCCAAAAAGGAAAAGAAAACAATGACCACTAAATTTGGTTCGGCAAGATCTGCTGTTTCTGTTTCTAGCAATATATTGTCTGAGTCTGCTGTTGGTGCCAAACTAGACGCAGGTAACAAGAAGATGATTAGTGATCCCTCTACAAGGTTATCACAGTGCCATGGTTTGTCATCACTGGAAATTTCAGAGGGGAATAATTTGCCCCCATGTTCATCAAGCAAGTTATTTATCAACAAAGTGCGTTTAACTACATCAAAAAAGAGGACTGGCTCAGAAGTTTTCCCCACCTCAGTTATCAAGAAAGCTCGTATCTCGGAATATGGCTATTTGCCAGAGCTACTTACATATAACAATGCGGCCAGGACTAAGTCAGCTCAGCATATCGCGCCGTCATCTAAGACTGCAGCCAGGGCTGACCCTGCTCAGCATAGCGCCTGTCTCTTATACACATCTAGATGTGTATAAGAGACAGCNATCGCGCCGTCATCTAAGACTGCAGCCAGGGTTGAGTCTGCTCTAAATATTGAACCATCATCCAGCAGTACAGTTAAAATTCAGTCTGAGCAGCATAGCGAACCGTCATCCCACAGTGCAGCTACAGCTGAGCTCGATGCCTTCTTGGCTCGCAGTTCCAATTGCAGTTTGTCTTCAGATGTAGCTAGAAGAAGAAGGCATCAAAATAACCAAGACCCTTGTTGTCTTCCTGGCAATTGCAGCAACCTTCAGTCCAGCCGAAATCAAGTTTCATCAATTGATGATGATATTAAAACTGTGATTTCAGAATTTTCCAAGAAGGTAAAATATTTGTTGCACCTCTCCAAAAAGTACCGCCGACGCTGCGATAAACTTTCGATGGACATGCTTGGATTTACTGAGAAGCTGGGACCATTGAAATGCCAATCTCACCTGTTGAAACTTGATGACGTTTATTCTGAAATGTTGGAATGCAGCACCGTGGCCAAGGATTCTGCTCGCCGACTGAGGAGATGTTGTCGAACCTTTAAGGACGAATTTGTTTCGTTGCAGCCAAATCATTGCAAGGGACCTGCAGGCTCGTCTTCTAGTCTTTCAAACCAACTGGACTCTTCTCGTAGAGAAATTCATCTCAAACCTTCTCCCATACCAAACTCCTCTTCCAATGCTGCCGAGAAACTTTCTGTTGCTTCGAATGAGGATTTCCCTGCTGCAACTGCTGATAGTCCTATCCTTTCCACTGCTGCTAGTTCTCTCTTTCCATCTGATGCTAGTGCTACCCTTTCTACTGATGCTAGTGCTACCCTCTCTACTGATGCTATTGCTACCCTTTCTACTGATGCTTGTGCTACCCTTTCTACTGATTCTAGTGCTACCTTTTCTACTGATGCTAGCGCTACTTTTTCTACTGATGCTAGAGCTATCCTCCCTACTCATGCTAGTGCTGCCCGTCCCACTGCAAGAATTGCTCTTCCCATTGCTGCTAGTGCTGCCCTCACTGATGCTAGTGCTGTCCTCACTGATGCTTGTCCTACCCTTCCCACTGCGAGTATCGCTCTTCCCATTGCTGCTAGTGCGGCCGTTACCACAGATGCTAGTGATGCTCTTCTCACTTATTCTAGTCTCATTGTAACGGATGCTAGTCCCAACATTACTGCTGCTACTGCAAGTTCAGCCACCAGCCAGCCAACGTGCTGTTGCACCGATGACACCATTTATATTAAGGAAGAATTGGCAGACGATGGAATCAAAGAAGAGCCCAATGTTGAAGGTGACGAAGCTGCTGCTTCTGTTCTTCCGACTAAGCCTTGTCATCATGACGACAAAGCAGAGCTCTTGGATACAAGTATCGATATTAAATTGGAAGATATTACAAATAGTCCTGAGAACTATGTTCTATGCAATACGCGCCATTTCTCGGCAAATGACGGTCATGAATCTGGTGGAGCTGTCGACGCCGTTCCTGTTGTCCGGCGTTACCGTGGCATCGCTCGGGCGTCCAAGAAGCTTGACTTGGAACAGAGCACCAACGCGGATGAGGATAAGAAAGCTAATGACCTACTCGAAGCTTTGAAAAGAATTTTTTCGTAGGGTCCACCATTTGAGAATCCATCAAATAGCAGCACTGGAAGTTTATCGCCTTGCAAACAGGAGAATGACTTTGAAAATTATTGTTGATTGCACTCGCCCAGCGCCCTAGTCGAGGTGCTGCTGACGAGGAGTGAGTCATCACTGCCCTAACATTACAGTTACCTAGCAATGGTTGTTCACTCGCCCAATTACCTTAACTTGCCTGATTATTCCTGGGTGTAGAACTTCATTCATTAGTACAGTCAGACTTCTGTAACTTAATTTGTCACTCACAATGCCATTTCAGAGCCGATCAAAATATTGTTAATGATTTGTTTACCTGATAAACGATCCCTCTCATCCATTTACTTAATTTGTTACGGTATATCTTCAAAAGTTTCCAGTAAATTCATTAATCATAAGAATTTGGACAAAACTTTTGAATTTGGTGGAATTTTGTGACACTTAAATGGTTTTTCTAGCTTATTGAACGAGTAGTCTTGTGGTTTCGGTTCTATTGGATATATTCTGCGTCTGCAACGACTGTAATTTTGCTAGCTTTCAATGTCTTCATGCTTCCAAGTATTGCTCTAGTCATAAGATCGGTTCTTACCTAATCAAGGACTAGTGACGGTTTTAGGTTTACAAACATTGCAGTCGGCAGTTATAGAGGCATCCCTGTTACTATATATATAGTAACATGGTGTATGTACTAAGTTGTAGCTAGAGATTTTGCTTACTGGCGTTTAGTTTTGATTCGCTTGTTTTTCGTTGTCAATATGCAAGAAATGTAACAACGTGAGATTCAGGTTAGTTTATTTCTTTCTCTAGGTTTTGCTCATGGTTTATTTGTATTAATTTATTTCTTGTGTAATGATGAACTCATTTTCTCAAGTATCAATGCAGTAGAACTAAACGGTGTAAAGATGAGATACAATGAAACACCCGACGTGTTCGGTAGGTTTGAGTCATCTCGCCTTCATTGCTACTTGGTTACTTACTCCTGTTACTTGGCACTCGAACATTACACATGAAAAGGACCAGGCTCTAAATAACGAAAGGCATCTTCGGATGCGCTTAGAATCCCTTCACGTTCCAGCCAGAATTGTATTGCCTAGATCTTCCCCTAATTTATTCCCTTGATATATATTTCTACGAGACATTGCGAGTTGAAGTTGAGCCTATAGGAATAATTTGGCTTTTTTTTTGCTTTTTTGTAGACGTGTTAACTTTGGACGACTGTGCTTAAGGAGTCGATATGGACGCAGTTCCCGACATGAGTTCACCTTCGTCTGATTTTACAATACGGAAGGTCTGACTGGCCATAAGTGAAAGTTTGGGATAGCGTGTGTTTGTTGCCTTGAACCCGTATTATGGGATCGGTGACTCCTGTTATTAATAAAGGTTTTTCTTCTAAAATTCATGTGCGTGTTTTTTAATTGGCTCCTCGGATTGGAATTTTGGGTCAATCAGATGATAGCCTTGTTTTCATCCGCGGTCGAACTTGAAGTGTCAAAGGGAGATTCATACCTAACATTATCTGTGAGGATTGCAGACCATGGGCCACTAATTTAACTCTTGATGTAGTAACCATAGAGTCGACGCCCTGTTTCAGAATGCAATCTATACCTCACCAAATATTGTTTTGGCAATAGCTGTACTTAACAAAACCTAGCCGTGCCGTGCTTTACAAAATATTAGCCCACTTTGTCGTAACTCCACTCTCACCCCGACTTCACCTTTATCGAACGATGTAGATAGAAATCAGATTGAAATTGGGTGTGGAGTTAGGGCCAAAGTAGGTTTATATTTCGTGAGTCGGGCGCATGTAAGACCTCGATTTTGTAAAATCTGACCTTAAGAACTTCTATTTCGTGAAGTGTGGCAGGTTTAACACTTTGACTGCGACGTGCGCCATATATGGTACACGCATGCATGTCCCAAACTGCGATGTGCGCCATATATGGCGCACACTCAAAAATTTTAATTTTTTAAAAAACCTCTTTAAAATATCAGCCAGATCATAAACTTGTGGGTACGAAAAAGAAAAAGTATTAAATAAAGGGGGTTATCCTGTTCCAATATGTTGAAAATCATTTTTTCGGTATTGGTATGGATTACAGCAGTAGAAAAACAAGCATTAGTCATTCGAAAGTTGCCTAAGCTCACACAGAAACAGAATGGCACTGTAAAAAGCATGATAAATAGTGATACGGATTCCGAGTACTGGGCTAGCAATTGATACTTACTTTTCTAGCTTTTCGTCTCACTTTAGCACCAACTAATTTCTTTTTTTTTTTGCAATTATGTTAAAGAAAGACTCGGATCAGTAGCTTGTCATGGCATAAAGTTCAGATCCTCAGCTTCAAATACTTTAGAGCTGGAACGCCAACATCTAAAATCATTGTGATTTGGTTTTAGAAACATTTATTCACGTGTCTGACCTATTACTAGTGAAAATACATTCAGTAATCTTCAACGACTTCAGCAATTCACATCGATTTTTACTGACTATAGAACTGATCACCAAGCACCCAGGCATTTGCTACAGTTTTTGCCAATAGGCTAACTTGAACAGTTGTTGGTACCACTTCATGCTTTGCTTAGAGCAGTTTTGTAAGAAATCATCTAAATGAATTATAAACTTCCCATTTAGCAGCATTTTATCCCAAAATGATTTGTAGTTTGATTATTGCAGTCACAATCCGATTTCATTTGCACAGAAAATGTATTTTTCAAGCGTTAATACACGTGTGATGTAAATTTTTTATTGTAGTTGAATAATAAATGCCGTGTACCTCATATGGCGCACGTTGCTTAGAATTATGAAAATTTCCATCCCAGGCGACATGCACCAATAGAGGCTCACGATTTTTATAGGTGCCTGTACACAGGGATAGTACTAGCCGCTAGTTCATCCGCCGCTTGAACTGTCCACGCTACTAGCCTCGTACGTGTATAGGGGTTCAGCCGCTTCAGAGGCATGCGCCGGTAAGTGTTCGACGCGGCCGAGAAGGACAACGATGTGTTGATTTCTGCGCTGGAGAGTGGAGAAGTGGCTACTGGCTACTGCTAGTACTCTAGAAGCGCTGCTGCTGCCATGGTGGGAGCATTTGTGCCGCTCTTGTGAAGGATCTTGGGTCAAGTGAATCATGGCTTGTTTGAACGATAATGTTTCTAAGAGGAATCCAACAAAGTGGATTCCACACGATATTTAATTATTCTTTGATATATTCCAAAAATATGAATTAAAGTGGAATGTTTGCCATGACGGTTACTCCAGCAAAATGAAGAGAGAAACGAGTATTTTGAAACTGGAAGAAGACCTTATTAGTCAGGGTTTAGTTGTTTCCGACGTTGCATTTTGAAAGGTTAGAATAAAGAGTATAAAAACGACGTACAGACTCGAGTTGATTAAGGTGATCACACTATCCATCTTCACAGACCTCACTCGACGGCTTCTAACGACTCATTGGCGGGCGCGAACGAGAAGATAGCGGCACGTTATACTCTCCTCGTGTGTACAGGCTTACTAGCCAGATAGTCACCAAGCGACCGACACTAGCCAGATTTACTAGCCGTCTGCACTATCCCCGTGCACAAGCACCTTTGACAGAAGCTTGTAGAACTCGCTCAGACAAGAGCAGCGCACTAGCCCTGATCTCGCTGCCTTGTCTGTAACTTAAATTATTCAAGTTTGAATGAGTCGCACCACTGGAATACAGGCTATTTTGCGAGTCGCAGTCAAAGTGTTAAGCAGCAGTAGCTCATATAGTTTTTGGCACTCAACTTCATAGGCCACTATGACCTCTGGCGAGCTCCCTAACTTCACACGAAAAGTGCCATGTTGTGTATTGGTTGCCATTAGCTCGAATTCATTCTTAGAAGGGCTTTAAATTGAATATTTAGGTAACGACGTAACGTAATGTTTATCTAAAACCATTCTTCAAAATAAACTATTCTCAAGTATATGGATTTGTAGTTTCCTGAAATAAGATCTGCAGAAACTATCGCATACTAGAATGTCCTCCATGGCTCACTGAGAGCGCTGGATTGATCGCGGATTGACGCTGATAATCGGCTGCTTGCATAACAGACAAGCTCATAAATTTATTACATTGCTGATAGAATAGAAATGTCGGCACTGAAGAAATAGGCCCATGGCCTGTTACCGATTCTTGAATTTTTCGTGACTTGATTCACAAGGGATCCGGCCTTTGGAACCCGATCTTTCCATAACTGACGATTGATTGATATGGCTGCTGGACTTGTTGCCTGCCAGCTGGTCGACATGGAAGAGCGCAGTTTTAAGGTCTTCAACTCTCATTACTTCGCTTTAGTCAGCTAGGATACTTTAAAATTCTGTTAACTCGAAGCTACGTAATTTCTATTGACTATACTGCTGTGGCACAGTTGGTCACGAATTGCTCATTCAATTACTGAAAAATTTTCGCTCTGCATGCTGATTTTGCTCCGGCGACATAGGCACTCGAAATTCTTACGAGAGAAGCTTGTTCGTTACAATTAAGAATGATTTCTTGCGTATCATAAGTGGTTTTAATACCAATAATCGACGATGTCGAGGAAAAATCAAGGAAGAAGAAGAAAAATCAATTGACGACTGAGTCAGAATCAATTGTTTGGTTAGAATTGGTTAGATAAGGCTCTTTTGTATTGCATCGTAATGATCTAATCATCTAACCTATCTGGCTTAACCTGCCCTAGCCTAACACATCTTAACCTAACCTGTCCTAACCTAGCCTATCTTAACATAACCTAAATATAAGGAAGAGGTCCCCGAAGGATTACTTGTAAATATACAAGGTCCCCGAAGGATTACTAGAATTTGAAACAAGAACAAACACCAGGGGCCACGGCGGTGTGGTTGGTGCCACCAGGTGTGGTTGGTGCCACCACGAGTGGTTGGTGCCCCAGGTGTGGTTGGTGCCCCCAGGTGTGGTTGGTGCCACAAAACCCCTCAAGTGCTCTGAAATTAGACCCGCGACACCATTTCTCCGATC